GCCCCCTGCGGGCGCGGCCAGGCCAGCCCCGGCGAGGGCGGGGGCCGGGGCAGAGCGCGGTTGGCGGCGCTGACCGCCCTGCTGGGGACTTTTCCCTCCAAACCGGCTCTGCTCCCGTCACATCCGCTGCCCGGCCCAGCTTGGGAAGTTTACCCGGCGATTGTTTGCGCCGGAGGAAGGAGGCGCCCGACGGGAAGGGCTGTTGCCGCTGCCCTGCCGCGGGGAGAAACTTTCCTCGCCGTCCGAAGTGAAAGGGCGGGGAGGCGGGTGGACGGACGCACGGACGGAGGGACAGACGGACGGGGCAGCCGCCGGGCAGGCATGGGGGGAAGAACCATGCCTGGGGCGGCGGAATGAAGCCGGGCCGGCGAAGAGCTCGCCGCTTCTTTTCCTGTCTGCTGCGTTAAGAAGCGTGTGGGAGGACGGCAGCTGGCTTCGTGTGAGCTGCGGGGCGCCTGGGCCACGGGATGGGCGAGCGGCCGGCGGCGCGTTGGCTGCTCCTCCACCACCACCACCACCACCACCTCCTCGTTTTCTTCCTCGTGCGTGGCGTCAGCGTGGCCGGGCGCTGCCGGGCTCACTTCGCCTTCCCTCTGCGGGTGTCTTCCCCGGTCGCCCCCGACGGCTCCGTGGCGCCCACGCCCCTGTTCCTGAAGCCGCCGGGCGGCGACGGGACGGGCAGCCCGCCCGAAAAGGCGGCGGGCTTAGCCTTCGCTTCGGAGCCCGGCGGCGCCGTCAACTTGGTGGCCATGGTGGACAATCTGCAGGGGGACTCCGGGCGCGGCTACTACCTCGAGCTGCTCGTCGGCACTCCGGGCCAGAAGGTAACCGGGCGCCTCGGGGACAGCAGTAGGAGCCGGGCTGAGGGAACCCCGTGGTTTCGGGTATAGCTGCGCGCACAGGATCGCCCGAGAAAGCAAAAGTTTGTGAAGTCGTTCCAGGGAGAGGTTCTCGTTTTTTATCTGGGAGCGGATTCCTGCCATTCTTTCCGACCCACGATCACGTCTCTAGTCACGAGCCATGTGGGTGACTGCAGTTAACTCCGCTTTGGAAGCTTAGTGGGTAGGAAACGCGCAGTAAGCGACTGCAAGTCAGCCAGCTTAGTGTCTGTGGGCTGCAATCCAGGAAAGCTTATGCCGCGGGGAATTTCTCGGGCTTTAAGTTGTTACGAGGTTCTTTTAGAGCGCCTGCAACGCTCTTTAACTGCTATTCCTGTGAGCAGGATAGGAACATGTTTTTTTAAAGAAGTGTCCTGCTTCATTAAAACCAAAGGACCGATATCCTCGTACTAGTGGGCCAGATCCTGCCATTAAGTCCGCAAACGGTCTGACGGTAAAGAGAAGAATGAACAAAGTGGAGGGATATGATGTTTTTGTATATAGAAATAATGCACAGAGAGGAGAAAAAAGGCTTCCTCTCCCCGTCTTTCTTCCATACGACCTGCCAATGAAGCTAAATGACAATTTGCTGCTTCGGGATGTGTCCCTGGACACAAATTCATACCTCTTTAAAATGGAATTGGAGAAATTACCAATGATTATTGATCATGATTGCCATGTACTGTAGAGTCTCCAGGTTCAGATGAAGTGTACCTCTAAAGATCAACTGCTGATTGAGGCAACAGGACAAAAGGTCTATTGTCTCTACATTAAAAGGCTATTTTAGCTTTTGTAAATAGGAAAATGGTTGTATTCTTTGGTCATGTTGGTTTCCTTTTTCTGCACTTTTTCCACCTTTGTGAGACAGGGTGATTGGAATCACACAGCAACACCATAGATTAATGTAGAAGTATTGTAGTAGAAGCATTGGCATTCTTTGGTCCATGAGGTCAGGAAGAGTCGGACAGGACTTAACTCGCAGTACTTGTCTAACTTCAGCCCTTTTGCTTTGTCTTCGGGGTGTGTTGTTTGCCTAAAGATTATTACACACCCAAATGAGCCTTGGGAGTCATAGAGGTTTGGATTTCCTTGTCTTGTGATATGCTACTCAGAATGGTGACTTCCGGACGGTGTTCCTTAACTGCAGCTTAGGAAAAAGTTGACTTAAAACTCTTTCCAAACTTCTTTTACAGATGGTTACATCTGAGTTCCTGCTGATAGCCCATTAGCAGTCTGCCATATTCAGTGGTATGCAATCAGATCTTAGGAAAGTTATGTTTTTGTACTACATAGAACTCCCACCATGCACTAGAGAGTCTTGAGAACTGTTACAGAAAAAAAGTAACTTTTCTAAGCAATCCTAACTACATTCGATGTTAAATGCATCACATACAGGTTCAGGTTTTTTAAAGTTGAAATTAATGCTACATATGATGGGGACTGAGGAGTAATTGAAACTATACTGTATGGGAAGGTGAGGTTGATGTCTTCCTTCCCTGGCTGTGAGCTTGACAAAATTGTCCCCACCTGCCTGTCACACTACAAATAGTAAGAGTAAAAAAATAAACTAGGGCCCCTGTTCATCAAAGTAATACATGTAACACTGCTTTGCTTTTTGCTGTCAATGAGTTTCTGCTGGTTCTCACTTTGAGCAGCACTGTTAGTACAGTACTCAGTTATTAAATGTGCTTTTGTATAAATGCAACTTTTGATTGTAAGATATTTCTTGAGACACTGGATGCCTTTTCAGTGTGGAAAAGTATTTTCAGAGGTTCTTGTTCCCAGACTAATTGCTGTTGTGTATCTCAAGGAACTCTGTTGCCTTTGTACAATCTTTCACTTGGCATATTCACAGAAAATGAGAACTCTTATAACTTGGACTTTTTAGATTGGAGGTATATCCTCCTTGTGAAGGGATGGTTGCTCTTGATAGTTCCTCCCTGTCTTTGAGCTGCCTTTTTTGCTTTCCCTCGTGCCCAGCTTTGTGAATATCTTTATTCTGTTTTTCTGGACAGAATATGATCAACCCACAAGACACACTCCCTTTCCCAACAACTGTGTGAATTGAATTCTGTGTAGCCCAGAATCTGGGACTTCCAAGAAGCCTCATTCAGGTATTAGAGAATCCCAGTTTGTCAACAAGCTTAGAGAGAAGCTATTAGTCTTTTCCTATCCATTGTTCCTTTCTGTTTGCATTTCTCAGCAAGTCCCTGCTCATATGGAGACTCTTCACGTGAGCAAGAGTCTCAGGGGCAGGAATCTGTCAGTGGATGCATATGAAAGGCAATGTCGGTGCAAGTTCTCCTGATTCCAGCAGTGCAAGGAGAAGTTCCACTGTTATGCACTGCTTCAACAGTTACTAGGAGTGGGGAGAAGGAGGTGGTGGTCATTACATGCTTTGATCCCAAAGATTTTAGGGCCAAAGTATTATTCTCGTAGCTGACCTTAGAATGGCTAGGTTATGGTGGCAGGCAATGGAAGAGAAAGAAAGAGGCTGTGGCAGGCGGGCTGAGTGTGGAAGGCAGTGACAGCTCTGCCATCCCCCAGCACTCTGCTGCCTGAGGTAACCATTGCAGTCTAGTTAATGGATGGACTGTCCTTAGTGGCCAGTAACAGTGGTGATGGTTAGGGCTAGGCATCCCCCTCCAGACATGTTGACACACAGGGATGCCCTAATGCCTGAACAGGGCTCCAGGCAGGTAGATGTTGTTTATCTATACTACCAGAAGACTTTTGATTGAACCCCTCATCAGGAAATGTAATACGTTGTGGAAGAAGAGAGGTCTAGCATTGTGAAGTCTCTCAAGGATCTGTATTGAGACCACTGCCTTGAAACTTGTTCACGAACAATATAAAGTTAGGAGTCTATAATGAGGGGACCAGCTTTGCTGATAACAACAAATTACTGAGTGTGGTTAAATCAAAAATAGTTTGTGAAAAGCACCAAAAGGTTCTCTCCAAACAAGAAGAGCAAGTATTAAAATTATAAATCAGTGTAAGTGTAAGCACGTGTGAAATGATGAACACTGAGGCAAATAAATTAATCCAGATTTCACATACTGTATACTGTATGCTCACAAGGTCTGAGATGGTAGTGACTGGTGAAAGAAGAGATTTTGGTACTGTGGTAGGAAGCAGATGAAAATGTGCAACTTGTGAGAAGAAGATGATGATGAAGAAGCAACAACCATAAATTTAATTTCATGTTAGTCATAAATTTTAAAAGGAAGGTCCAGCAGCAGGATGTCAACGGTGTCCCCAGTTCTACTTTGGCAGTACTTTCAATATGAAATATATGCAAACAATGCTCATCTGCATTCTGTGTAGGACAAACAATGTCTCTGAAAATGAATAAACAGACCTAAATTGCAGCTCAGTAGCTTAGGATCCCCATCTCTGCTCTGGCATGCTTCCAGCTATGTGGTGGGTCTCACTTGTGCAGAGACCAGTTTTGCAGCTGGACATACTATATAATGGGAAAACTCCTGGAGTTGGTGGGAGAAACTTATATTATTGCCCTTCCACTTCGCATTTAGTGAATATGAATGAGATACTGGTCATCACATTTGGAAATCTGTCTGAACGTGTCCAGAATCCTATTTCTGTTTTTTATAAGTTGCTGTGGCTATTTGAGGAGGAAGTGGGGCACGTTAAAGTCATTTGCCTGATCACACTATGAATAGCACAACTGAGATAAGGCCTGGTGCCTCATCAGTTACACATAAGTAGTCATGGCAAGGATCACAAAATTTACAAGACTATCAGTAAGATTCTAGTCAGTTAACTTCAAAGTACTAGGCCGCTGACAACATTAACAAGAAATGTGTATTGAAGAAGAGTAATTAGTTAAACTGTGTTGATATGTAGGTATGGGATTGAAGGCATTGAAGGAACTCCTCTGTCTTCTGCTGCCATTCATATCTTTGTGTAATCATGAAGGAAGGGGGGGCATAAAAGCAGCAAGAACACAGCACTGAACACCAACAACGTATGCATCTTTAATACAAGAGGCACCAATAAAATGTGCCAGTTACACTGCAGAAATTTGGACATACTTACTAGATCCCCAAAGGAATTGCATCATAGCTACTGGCAAAGGCTATACTGGATTGCCGCCAACTCTGTTGCTCTCTTGGAAGGTAGAAACAGATCTGATTTTTTGTTTGTTTGTTAGAAGTAGCCATATCAGCCTTAGGGAAAGGTGTACTTAAAATTTACCTGACACTGTTTTCCTGAACTTAATTGCCCCTCTCTCAGCTGCCAGTAGTTTCAAAAGTGAAAATACCAGCATGATTTGGGTGTCTGGAATTTGCCTCCCTTCATGATTGACAGCAGACAGATAAGATCAAGGAAGCTGCATAGTGAGAGGGGGGAAATCCTTCAAAAGAGCTTAGCACAGACTTCTTTTGCCACGTCAGCCTGATTAGCCAGATATTAGGCCATAATATCTGAACAGTTTAAATCAGTGGTAGGCAACCTGGTGTTTCCTGGTCATTCTGAACTTCAGTTCCCAGAATTCCTGAACATTGATTATGCCAGCTGAGGCTGATGGGGATTGCCTACAGAATATCAGAAGGCCAGGACTCAAGGTGGTAAGTCTGTATTCACCCGGTTCCCTTACGAACTAGTTTAGGGACACAACTACACTAGAGAGTAGAAATTAGCATAAAATCATTACTTTTCCGATACAAGTACTGAACAGTGATGCCTGGACTTACGAAATTAATCCGTATTGGAATGGTGGCTGTAACTCAAAATTTTCGTAAGTCGAAGCACCATTTCCCATAAGAATGCATTGAAAACTGATAAATCCATTCTGGCCGAAGAAAAGAATCCCCCCCCCCAAAAAAAAGGAAAGAAAAGGAAATAAACAGCAAGTCCCACACTGGGACAGCAAAAAAACAAAAAACAAACAAATCCAAAAATAAACATTGGAGCAAGTCCCA